TATGACTTAGGGACTTCCTGGATACAAACTACCATTTGATAGTACAGACAACAGCATGAGAGGAGTTAGGGTTTGAGCCTGTTCTTATCATTAGCCATCCAAAAGAAGTTGGGAAAGCAAACCTATTTTTTAAGGGGAAGATATTGACTACACTTTTGGACATTGAATTTGAAGTGACATGTGGTGACATGGTGGTTGGAAGTTTGACAGTCCATCTCTTATATAAAGCCGGGGCTGACAATGGTTGGGATAGAGACTTTTGCTGTTAGGCCGTAATTAAAGACCCTCTCCCAATTCTGTATTTGAGAGAGCATATCTTTGAGATTATAGGTCAGGTTTGTGAAATTATAGGACTATATAAACTTCTGACAAGCAACTGAGCACATCTTTTGTTCAGCAGAGGTACAGATTTATCTCTGTTATATATAGTCACAGAAACCTACATGAAGTGAGTACATTTTTTTTAAAGGAAAGGTACTATTGAAGAAAAAAGAAAAGTGGGATAGTCTTATTTAAAACATACATTTGACTTTGTGAACAAAACAACTTACCTTTTTTTCAAGGCAACGTTTCTTTAGTAAGAGGAGAGAGAGGCGAGTTCTTGTCTGTCAAATGTAATCTGTAGCCATCTGCTGCTGTATCTCCTTATGTTCTTCATGTAATTAGAGCAATTAGGATGAGGTTTGCACCATGTATTGGTCTTGGAAGGAGGGTTGAGCTATTTGCAGGCTTATTTCGAGATAGTGGAGATGAATGGCCTAATCTTTTAGGGAAACTGATGGAAACTGAGAAATGTTTTAGCCAGTCAGAGGAGAAGGGCAGTTTTTTTCCTCTTCTCTGTAATATTGTCTTTTTATCACCATGGTAACTAGGTATCTTGACAGATATGTTTTTAATGATAGTAACTCAAACGGTGATAGAGAAGAGAGGTTGAAGGAGAGAGGACACGGGTTCTGTGGTGCTGTGATTGTGGGAGGAACCTCTCTCCGGGTTTTTGACTCTGAGCTGGTTGGAGGGAATGGCAAAAGGAGAACTTAAGGGAGACAGCATTAATCAGTTGTGCCAAACTCTTTGGGAAGCCAGTCACACGAATGTGGTTTGTGTACCGAAGAAGGGGATTGGGTGCTGTAACCACAACCTACGGAACCTTTGTTGGGTCCCTTGGCCAGGACTGCAGTGCCACTCCACACACCCACTGAGGGTCAGTGTGCCTCCCACATCCTGGAAGGGGCTTGTCATAAAAGCAGACACTTCTTCCTTCCTCCTCTCTGTCCCCTCTTAGCCCTCCTGTCTTCACTGTGATTACCCATACACTAGTGATTCTCATTACTGATAACTCAACCACTGCATTATTTTTCCAGCTGATCTTTTTTTGTACTTAATAAGTGTATAATGCATATAAAAATAGAATATTGTATGGACTTTAAGTTCCAGATTAAGCTGTGGGAACACAGAGGAACTGATTTAACTGGGAAAGTAAAATTTAAACTCATTTAACTTAAACATGATTTTTAGCTGAATACTTCAAGTTTTGTAATTCTGAATTTTGCTTTTTCATGACAAGAAGCTATCATAGATCTCTCCACATTATTTTCCTTGTGCTTAGCTACAGTATCAAGTCTAGGATCCTTAGCATGGTCCTTAAAGACCTTCATTTTCTGGCTCAAGCTTCATTTTTTTCACTCTCCTCTCTATCAAGGGACAGCCATAGCCCAGCAACTCCTTATTTCTAGAACTATCATTCGCTTTTACAGTTTTTTCCTTTGATTAGTGACTTTGACTTTCTTCTTATCCATCAAGGATCAGCTCAAATATGACATCTATAATCTCAGATAAAGGCAATCACTGCCTCATTTGTACTCCTTAATGTGTTGTGCAAC